AGTTCTGGCTTTCTAAGGTGGCCCAAGGCAGTGACGGGGGTAATTCAGTCCCAACTTTTGGGGCATAAACTGATCATCTGAAGAGATCTCCCATCCCAGACACTCTCCTCCCTCCCATGCCAACATCAGGTAACTAGTCTGATGCATGATAGAAATTATTCACCTTCCTTTGAAGGAAGAGGCTGTGGCTAAAGAGGAGCCGTAATAGACTTCACAGACTGGTCTGCTCTGACACATAATCCCTGACCAATTCCACCTCTCTTTGTCTGTGAGGCAGAGTGGGATGGGGGAACAGGCAGTGTTGAATCTAGGGAGGGCTCAAATTCTATCTTACCTCTGCTATTGGTTTACTGTGGGATCTCAGGCAAGTCACATCACTTCTCTCTCCCCCACCTCTGTAAAATGGGGATAACTACTCTTCTTCCCAGGTAATTAATGGAGGCTTGTAAAGCTCTGGATTATATCTACACCTGTTAACCTCATGTGACCCTCCTGAGTCATCTGTTGCAGTCCAGCTATGACCCACACCCCCAGGGGAGCAGGGATGCACTCACAAAGTCAGGGTTGTAGCAGATCCTTGCAAAGGCCAGGCGGAAATCCATCACCTGGTTCTCCAGCATGTCCACTCTCTGCATCTCCTCCTCACTCTCGCCAGCTGGGAGCCAGAAAACACACAGGGGCAGAGAGGCTCAGCAACCATGGTTTAAATCTCAACTAGCCTCTAAGGGCTTGTCTTCACTGGGGGGAATTGACCAGCCCAGCTATTCTGGAATGACCTAGGTCTTCTAGAATAATGGCCCATCACTTTTACTCTGGACTGGGGACCTATTCCAGAGGAGCTTTTCCAGTCAAGTTCCCCGTGCAGACAAGCCTTTGACTTGCAGCAATACTCACCCATCTTGTGTTTGTGCGCTACGTAGCGGAGGATAGCATTGCTCTGCGTGAGCTTTGTCTGGCCGTCAATGAGATAGGAGAGCTGGGAGGGCAAAGAGAGGATGTCAGGGGATAAGTTCTTCCCACCCATTTATCCTACTCTTGGAGGGCACTGCAGCCACCAAGCTACTTGTGCCTCCTAGTCGGCGGGAGGTCAAAGAGCAGTGCTAAGTGTCTCATGAGCAGACCCTGCACTTTTTTACTCTGCTTGGGGGAGCAGGTGGACAGCAGGGCCCCAGATTCACTGTTCAGTGCCTAGCATTTAACCTTATAGCCATGCACAACCACCGATCACACTCAGGCTAGGCACGGCCACGTGCTCGCTGCTGCAAAGACAGCAAGGCCTGAGTCTCCTGCACCAGCCAAGGGGGCACTGCAGAGCTGAGAGCCCTTCCCCAGCCAACGGCCTGGCTCCACCTCAGAGCCAGCAGTGAAAGCTGCTAGTCTCCAACCACTTCCCTCTCTGATCCTGTCCTCCCCAGCGACACATGGGTAACGGCAAAGGAGGCTGCTACGTACGTTCGGGAAATCCAGCCCCAGCTTCTCTTTCTCGTTAGTCCATTGGCTTATATCATAATCAGGACCTGGAGGTAAAGAACAGGATGGTAAGTACTATGGCATGAACACCTGCCCCCCCCCACTGCATTTCCCTCACCACCAACCCTCCAATCCCACCCCACGGCATCTCCTAATCAACATTACCTCCCCACCACTGCATCTCCCACCCCACTCCCTACACCCACTCACTGCATCCCAACCATCACTGCTACCCCACAAACACCCACCGTACTGCATCTCTCCCCTGCCACCCTCACCGCACCCACCCACTGCATCTCCCTTCCCACACCCACACTCTGCATCTCCCACCCCACTCCCCACACCCACTCACTGCATCCCAACCCCTCCACTGCATCTCTAACCAGCAATGCACCCCACAAACACCCACTCCACTGCATCTCTCCCCTGCCACCCACACACTCACTG